ATATATTGTTTCTGTGAAAGTACTACTTAAGGAATTTTTTTTTCTGATTCTGCTTCAGTATTACAGAGTCTTATATATATATATATATATATATGGAGGTATATATATAGTATATATATATAGATATATGGAATAGCATATATATATATAATAGCTGAAAACCTAGCTTAACGAGCACCTCTCATAACGAGTAATTCGCATAACAGCAAAAGTTTTGTAAAAGAATGTCTTGCTTAACGAGCGACGTTTCGCATAACAAGTGGCCAGGGGAGGGGAAGTCCCGGATTGTGCGCATGTTACATCAGTCTGAGTTTATCACTCATTCCAGTAGCATCGTAGTGTCGCTTGTGATCTCACATTCTCTCAAACTTGTATTATATTGTGATATATGTACATGAATCCTCCAGATCTACAAGATAACCTCCTGAAGAATTTAAGTACATAAAGATTAGTTTCTGCCTCCCAACGCCACTCCGTTACTCCAGCCCATGGACCAGCAAGTTATTTCTAACTTTAGCCCAGCTCTCTAGCGTAGATGGATAAACCTGACTTCGTGGTGACCCGGTGACGAACTCATTGTGCTCTGGGTTCACTCCCGGGGGTAGGCAAAAAAGTCACATTTCCCCTAAATTTACGGTAACTATCATGGAATCAAAGCCGAAGGGTTGCGATATCCATAATACCGAGCCAAAGGGTTAACAACTCATGGTTTCTGGATATAAAAAAAAAAAAAAAAAATTCAAACTTTAAGAAGCTCTACACTAAAACACTCTTCAAGCATTGTTTTCATGTAACTGAAGGGGTCAACCTCACTCTCAAAGAGTTTTGGAAAAATCACTTCCACATCGTTGCCTGCCTCAAGATGATCGACAAGGCGGAGTAAGGGGTTACCAAGAGAACCCTAACTTCTTCTTGGAAGAAGCTTTGGCCAGAAAGCGTCGTCGATTTATGACTTTGAGGGGTTCGAGACAGTACCTGTGGAACCTGTAGTCAACGAGATTGTGTCTTTGGTCACTATCATGTGATTGGAGGTGGATTACAGTGATATCGAAGAGCTTGTGGAAGAGCACAGCCAAGAGCTGACAACCGAAGAGCTTATAGAGTTGTATTGTGCTTCACAGCAAGAAGTTTTGGAGGAAAGTTTGTCAGGGGAGGAGGTAACAGAAAAGCAACAATCTTCTGGCAAAATAAGAGAAATGCTGAAAGCATGGGAAACTGTTGCATCTTACATTGAGAAGCATCACCCTAATAAGGAAGTGGCTATGCGCACTGTAAATTTATTTAATTATAATGCCGTGTCACATTTTCGCCAAATTTTGAAGCGTCGGCAAAAACAAATGTCTCTGGACATCTTTCTAGTAAAGAATAATTAGGTATGTATCATAATTATTGCGACTTTTTTTCTGCAAATCGAATTCGCATTTCAGGTGGGTTCATTCCGCGTTTGAAGAAAAGATGAAGAGGTTTTACTTTCCTTAACAATATGTACATAATTTTCTCTAAATCAACCGAATAGTTGCGATCGGGCCGAATACGAATAGTGGTTACCTTACTCCCATTTCTGCATACACTGTGATGGATATATATATATATACCTCCCACAGTGGAGAGCATCTACTTATAATTTGTGCTTTCCTGGGTCCTATTTTGAAAACGGCGGAAAAAGAATAGACAAACAACATTTTCCTAGGCATGTCATAAAAGGTTATTAATTATTTGTTTGTAGAAATTGGATATGTTGGGTCAACAGGTGCAGATACTGCAGCCAAGCTGAGAACCACAATACAATGTGCCAACCACCCTTTTAAGGATGAAAGGCAGAAGTCAAACTCATATTACAGTGTGTTAGATAGAGCATGGTTTAGATAGTTAAGACGACGGATCAACATCATAGCACACAGGTGTAGTGCACGTGTGCTCCGTTCTACTTCTAACTCAAGCCTGAGTCTGAAGAACCTCAGGGCAGTGCACAAACTCTGTAGCACCGGCAATGATCATGAAATACTTTGGGTAGATTTTTAAGTCAAAATTTTGCCCGGGCAATGCCATCAGGCTACTGTTTTCTATTTCCAACTGCCAAGGGATTTTTTTATGTACGCAACAATACACACTGGCGTCTGATCTTACTACCTAGAGACTCTATCTGACTCCAACTGCAGGTTATTTAGCAACAGAAACGTTGCACTGATATTCTACAGTGGTGACAGCTGATCATGTAGAAGCCAATGGCAAACTACAGAATGTAAAACTGCCTAGTAAAATCAAACAGCAAAAATAAGATGCTGGGGTTGGTTCTACACCATCCTGTGAAGGATAAGCAGCTAACTTTTATATGATGTTCTTGCCTGCCCTTATCCTGGTTCAACTGCTGTTCTTGCAGCCTCGTCATGGCTGCAGATTCACAGTCATCACTTGTTTCAAGAAAATGTCAATGTCAATTAAAACATTAAAAATACTTCACTGAGAACATGAAGACATCTTAAATTTTAGAAATGTACAGCTAAGTGCAGTAAGACACTGTTGTTCAGTTCATTGCTTCTGAACACATTATTCATACAGGGTTTCCCCATGTGGGTTCTGGGGTCCCATTCTGGGAAAAGCAAGAAGAGACCCATTTCCTCTCCAAAAAGCATGTCATGAGAGTCGACTAACTGGGGGGCTTCCTTTGAAGTCACAGTGCCTTCACCCGAGTGGCAATGAATAACCAACTCTAAAGACAGTAAAATGGATATGCATGGAAAACTCAGGCCCTGGCACAAAGCTCAAACTGACAAACAACTAGGACTTTCAGCGGGAGCTTACCACTGGTGAGCAAAGAACATGTCCAAACCCTCGTACTGTGAGTGATCCGCTCAAGTTTGTAAGGCTTGGGTTTCAAGGACATGATGGATTGCCTGATTGTGAACTTGGTCCGTTCATGTCATTTGGACCACCTTTTTCAGATACCTCATGACAGAGGCCTGAAGCTGGCTTCTGTGAGCTATTGTCACTGCCCATGACTCGCACGCATATGTCAGGATTGGTACATAGGTAGAGCAGTTTACAGCCATTGATGTTCCCTTGCTAATTTCTCTTTTACTGAGAAAGCCCTGCTTCATGACCTGGAAAAGCCTCCCAGCTGCTGTTTTTTGAGCAAGCTAATCTGACTTGATGCCTCCCTTGTGGACTGTTATGACTCCAAGGTATTTGAACTGGCTGACCTGCTCCAGGGAATCTTGTCCCATCATGATTTGCTGCTTCTTCTCCTCTCTTGAGATCACCATGGTTTTAATGTTGGAGACACTGATGGTCATCCCTCTCTTCTCAAGCTCTTCCTTTCAGACATGTAAGTTGGACTGAAGATGCACCTCTGATTTGTGAATAATAATAACGGAATATAAAATATGGGAAGGTTAGGTTAGTTGTGTATCCTTTACAGGACAATGCAGAACCAACCCCAACAGCCCCTGGCTGTTGTGAGGTTTTTCTAGGCAAATTTACATCCAGTAGTTTGCCATTGCTTGCTGGACGGTGGACTTTTCCACTGTTGAAACCAACGCAAGGTGCATGGCCTGCAGCTGTGATTGAACCCGGCATCCCATAGGGGAAGGGAAAAGAATATTTATTGTTTGTTTTGCAACATCTACATTGTGTACTCCTCTATTTTATATTCCTTTATTGTTATTCAGATGACTCTCCCTGTGTTGGGGTTGGGGTCCAGGATGTCTCGTCTTCTTGTTGTTCTTCAAGCAGGAGCCCAGAAAGGAAATTCAGAAATACAAATTGGCGTCTCTTCTTCTTTTTCTTAACCTTTACCGGATGTTAGCTCCAGCAGAAAGTTTTGGTTGTTCATTCACTTCTGGACCATAGCCCTGTTCCAGAACCTGACTGCCTCATGCACATCTGTTTTACAGATCTGACTTTTTTCTTTGGAGACTGTTTGTCCCTTGCCTCTCAGGCAGATGCACTCTGACTTCGAAGGAAACTGTTTATCAAGAACTAGATCTTCACATACATAAAAAAAAAAATATTGTTGGATAGTGTTTGTAACATGCTTGTTTATAGTATTCCTGAAAACTGTAGAAATTTCTGCTGTCACATCTGAATCTTTGCTGCGTTTGATGAGGGAATACAATAAGTTACAGGTAGTCGCCTTGGCAGAGCAGCTACACCCTTGCCTGTGGATTGTAACGTCATAGGTTCGCTTCCTATCGGAGCCAGACTTTGTTTTCTTCAAAAATGACCTTGGCTCCCAGGTCGACCCAGCCTTGAGTGGGTACTGGGCGCAGTCCCGTGAAGTAAAGGCAGCCAGCGTGATGCTGACTACATCACCCATCTTGTGCTGATTGGTCTGTCAAATATAGGTCTAGCCCTATATGCCCCAATAGGCCTAAAGGCGTGGAAAGGTGTCCTTTACTTACAATAAGTTACACAACAACTCAAGAGGTGAAGTTGTTCAGTCAGCTGACAGTGTCAGACTCTAGAGCAGAGTGTTCCAAACTGTTCATCTTTGTAACACACTTTTTTTTTCTTTCAAATAAACATCATTTTGTGATGCAGTAATTCCGTCTCCTGCCAAAGCAACGATTAATTAAGCCCCTTTTAAGAGATATGGACACATACATAAATTACGTTCACATGACACACCTTCACACTGCAGCCAACACACTAATGTGTCGTTACACACACACTCACACACAGTCTGGAAAGCTCTGCACCAGAGTGATATGGTTGGTGAGGAAATTGCCAGAAGTCCACGTAAGGTCTGATATGGTTGATTAACATATTGTGTTTGTTCTCGGAAGTCTGTGCACTCTATATGTATTCATTGGGCATAGACTGAGTAAATTATGGAATTTTCAATTTTTAAGAGAAATATTATTATTTGTAGATTAAACCTAAAAACAAACCATATATGTTGACACATACCCCCCCCCCCCCCCCCCCCCCCCCCCCACAACAAATTTTGTACATTCAAAACACATACTAGAAATGATTATTTAAAAATCTAATTAATGCATTCATCGAAGTTTCTTCCCTCCATATGGTCCTCCTCCGTAACTTTCTTCCAAAGAATTGTAACTAACAGAGGTTGTAATGATGTTCTGCAGTTCAGCTTCAGTCCTGGGCTGGTTAGGGTACATTCTCTCATGCAGGGACGACCGGAGCTGGAAGAGGCCGTGCAGGACGATTTGAGCAGCAGCACTCATTATGACCCCCAGGACACAGGTGCAGATGGCTTCCACAGGTTGTGACCAGTTCATAAAGTAATAGGTGCGACCTCCTAGAAGGGAGATCAAATATTTATGAAATATTTTCAAAGACCAGTTCATAAAGTAATAGGTGCGACCTCCTAGAAGGGAGATCAAATATTTATGAAATATTTTCAAAGACCAGTTCATAAAGTAATAGGTGCGACCTCCTAGAAGGGAGATCAAATATTTATGAAATATTTTTAAAGACCAGTTCATAAAGTAATAGGTGCAACCTCCTAGAAGGAAGATCAAATATTTATGAAATATTTTCAAAGGCCATTTTATAACGTAATAGGTGCGACCTCCTAGAAGGGAGATCACATATTTTAAAACTATATTCACAGGCCAGTTCATAAAGATATAGGTGCGACCTCCTAGAAGGGAGATCAAATATTTTTTTTATATATTCAAAGACCAGTTCAGAAAGTAATTGGTGCGACCTCCTAGAAAGAAGATCAAATTTTTTTAAACTATATTTAAAGGCCAGTTTATAAAGTAATAGGTGCGACCTCCTAGAAGGGAGATCACATATTTTAAAACTATATTCACAGGCCAGTTCATAAAGAAATAGGTGCGACCTCCTAGAGGGGAGATACAATATTTATGTAATATATTCAAAGAAATATGTACAGATATTACAAGAGTTAATGCCCATTTCTTGTCAAGTTATAAATTATTTTCCTGGCTGCTGCTTCATTATAATCACCAAAGAGTTAATTCATCCCCAAATGGGATGTAATTTTTCATTATTCTAAAGCCCCACTCTAGCTGTTGATAGGAGCCTTATATAACCTCTATTGGTTGAACAGGGTATCTGGAATCTGTCCCCGGTTGATCCTCATCTGAATGGGGACATTCTGTGTCACAGAGTGTTTATCGCTCGGTGTGATGTCGTGGTAGGGTTGAATGTCACTCAATCACAATCATTATCTTAATCTTCTTTTCCTTCCCTGACAAGGCCTATGATTACTGGACAGTATGATTTTAGCTAAGAATTAAGGCGACAGCAAATTACCTTTCTCCCTCTCCCTAAAAAAGTCGATGCTGTGTGGCACTGAAAATCATATCTATCCACAACCTTCTGTCTCATGTACTTCCAATCAAATCTGACACAGATGATCTTTCATGCCATGACGTCAAACTGTCCAGCATCTGTTCTCTCGGTCTCTCTCTGCCTCTCCTCCCCTCCAACTCTCCTACTGTCACGATGTACTCCAGTTTTCTCCTTCTCATCACATGACCAAAGAATGTAGATTGTCTCTTTCTGATGGGGGCAACCAGTTATCTTCGTGAGTCAGTTTCTTTTCTAATGCTCAGCTGCAGATAAACAATGCAAATAGGTTCTTTTCTGGAGTAAACTTACCCGACAGGGAGAGTCATGTGACCGAGTCACTCCAGGAACCACACTTTCTTCTTTTTCTTCTTCTTCTTCATCTTTCTTTTCATCCATATTCATCCATAAAAAGGCAGTTGGCATGCTGTTTTGTGGTTTACACTTGGGTTGGAACATGTTCATCTTCAGTGCAACACATCAGATTTCAGCAAATCCTTTTACTAGATGATTTCCAAGAAAGTGTCTATTGTTTGTTACTTTTATTTGTTTAGCCGCTGCATTGCTTTGGCTAGTTTCCTGACTTCCATCTCCAAAGCGTTGAAACTTTGTGACATACTTCCAAATAAAATAAAATTTATATATTTTTTTCAGGAAAATAATTTATCGAAATACTCATATGACCTTTTTCTTTAAAACGTCTTCTCTCATTTTTCCTCTGTTTAAACATCTCAGTGCAGAATTGCAAAGCGTAGGATTAAGCACAGCCCTGAAGAAGATTGTAAGTCTAAAACGTACCTACGATTTAGTATAGCCCGTTAACTTAGATGGGATTGGTCTAAAGCAAGTATCCCCCGTGTGGGTTCCGGGGCCCCATTGTGGGGAAAACAAGAATAGACCCACTGCCTCCCCAAAAGCATGTCTAAGAGTCGACTAATTGGGGAATTTCCTTTAAGTCAGATCATCTGCCGGAGAGCTTCAAGGAACCAACAGTCTGTATTCTAGAGAATGAGATCTGTTGTTATTTGCACACGCAACACTCAGGTTCTGCCAGCAGGACTGCAGTTCAGTAGTGGACGATAAACCAGCCAAACCTTCCGCCAGAGTTTTACAGCTGGTGAACGCGTGGCAAGTTGAGAAGAAGGTTTATCGCAAGTACATTTTACAGAAAATGCATTCCACTCAGTACTGATCACTCACTCACTCACTTTCACTCACTTTGAGATTATTATTTTCTTAAAGTCTATGACGTGTAGAATTGGCCATTATGTTATCCCACAACTAGCTCGTCGCGAAATAAGTTATCCCCTGGTGGGATGCAATTTTTCGTTATTTAGAAGCCCTCCCCCAGCGATAATTTGGCCTTATGGACCTCTCCACGTGTGATCCTCATCCACATGGTGGCACTTTGTGTCATCGGATGTTTATCGCTTGTGTGATGTCCTGGTGGGGTACAATGTGCTACTACTAAGTTTCACAACTGCCATTTTCATAATTCGCCCAATATTGGACGCGATCTTTGTTTTGTTTTGTTTTGCTTTAGTATAAAGCCTCTTGTGATTTCTGTCACAGGCGTGAGGTAAAGTTAAGTCCAACGTGATGTGCATAAGGAGTTACTCCGTACATCACTCAGGCGCCAGTCCTGCACTGTTCTAGTTTTACAGAACCTCACGCCAGACTCCTGCAGCACGTCCTCGTCGTGCGCCACGGATAATGTCTCAAATGAGCATTAACAGAGCTCTCAGGGGATCTCGGAGTTGGCGGGTCCCAGAGGTGCAGTGTCCTTGTGGTTCTCATCAGCCCGCCCCCAAACGCATGAGTGAAAAGCTTATCAAAACACATTAGGAACATGAGTAAAGTGCTTGCCAAACGTACAACTAAAATGACAAGTTTGTTGGGGTGAAGAGAACATTGTGTTGCTGAGACTCAGCCCTTGACCCAGAGATTTACCCGCAGCACAGACGAGTAACATCTCCTGTGGGTGGCGTCTCGCAGCAAGATTCTACCCATGTACATCCTCTGTCAACCCTCAGTGTCGTCGCCCCCGCGCTGAGGTACACCAAGACAGCAACCATTTATCGGCTGGTTAAGCCCAAATGTCTGACAAAAATAGATCCTACTGCACACGAACAAGCTCAAAATCCGACCATCATAAATCGTATTGACTGGGAAAAAGTCCAAATGTCCACATCCCGAGACCCCACTCGCCCGAGTGTTGGGACCAAACAGATAAAGACATGCCTCATGCATGATTCTCCATTCTGTCATGCTAACAGCAGGCTAAAGATGACAACCGTGCGATGAAAAAGATTGTACCTATTCGTGGTGTCACAAAAGTCCAAAACCCACGGGCTGCTCCCCGCTGATCTCCGGAGGGCGCAGCCCGTGTCGAGCGGAAAGCCTAATACGGTTGTGAGGTTAAGCAGTTAGGTGAGCCCAGAACCAAAGCGTTATGTGCCGGCTCTGCATTTATGGAAGCCTCCTTAGATGGCGGGGAATGCCCATGATCTGCCCCTGCCTTACCTTGAGGGCCAACCGTTCCACACAGGGCTGCCCCAAAGGGGGTACTCCGGGGGCAACACCTGTGGAGAAAGGGACAAAGATGACACCACATAAATAAGGTAACATCTCGACCCACACAAAACAATGGCCACAGTCATCCTAGAAATAGGCCTGACGCCTATCCTCAAAGGCAGGGAACGGCAAAAGCCAATAAAACGGTTGTACACGCAAAACTCAGGTCCAGGTAAAAGCCAAAAGTCCAAGCCTCAACACGGCTGTTGTCGGTGGCCCTAATATAACCTACGGTTGAACTTGGACTTGCGCCCGAACGAATCTCATCCGAATAATAGCACTTAGTGTCAACGGGTATTTATCGCTCGCTGTTTATCGCCAAGAGCCATATTTAGGCATCTGCATAGGGCGCCAACTTTTTGACAGCGGGATTATTTTGAGGACAGGGTTTTAGATATTTATAAAAAAAAAAAAGGACCCTTTTCCAAGTCTTGAGGTGAACTGGGCAAATAGTGCTAGACTTGTATGTTGAAGCTGAGCTAAAGGAAGACGGAGCGTACAAATAAATGACTAGGGAGGGGCGTCATACATTTCACATTGGCGGCCTGGTCATGTGTGTTATTTTATACTTTCCTCGCTTGGTGAGGCTTGGTGAGGCTTGGTATGGCCTCTTGAGGCTTGGTGAAGCTTGGTGAGGCTTGGTGAAGCTTGGTGAGGCTTGGTGAGGCCGTCACACGTACAACAATTGACTGACTGACTGGCTGACTGACTGACTGACTTTCTACCCCACCAGAACATCACACAAGCGATAAACACCCAATGACACAAAGTGCCACCAAGTGGATGAGGATCGCCGTGGAGAGGTCCCAGAAACCGCGTTCAGACAATTGGCCATATTTATGGCCTGCCTATATTGCGGCCCCTGGCAAAAGCCAGGGTGGGGCTTCAAATAACAAAAAATGTTGTCCTAAAAAGGACAAAACTGGATTATGTATATAGGTTCGTACAACAATTATAGCTTCTTTGACTTTTAAGCAGGTTTCTGGGATTTGCCGAGTTGGCTTGTCATGGAGACTGAGATTTTGTAATCTCAGAGTGGTCTAACCTTCAGGTCGCATGCCGGAGGGGATAAATTGGAAAAATAAGAATGAGCCACTTATACTAACAATAGTTTTAGACACAATTGTGCTATTTTCTATGATGACAGACTGTCTAACATCTTAGTTGATCTACCCTTCCCTTGCCTCTATTCTACCCATCGTTAAAATGTTCATGACTATCTACACTTTCCCTCTTTATTGTGTGCCCAAATAATGTACACTGTCTTCTTCTGATGTGTACCAATTTTGTAGTTGTTGTTTAGATTTCGTTGTTGTATTATTTATTTTTAAGAATTAATTTATTTTCATGCATTTACACTTAGATTAATTTTCATTTAAATATTTTCAGATGTTCGAACCATTATTCTATAAAGCCAAATCTCAGCAGTTTCCCCCCAGTTTACCACTAACATGTTCACCACCAATTCACTTCCTTATACGAGAATTAGTTCTATAGCGCTCTTATTGCACTTCGAATAAATATGCATGCTGAAAAAAGAACGAAGAAAAAGATGTACGAAGCTCAATGTATGGAGTTCAATCCAAAAAAAAAAAAAAATGGATGCCTTCGTTACCTAAACCAACACCGCCTCTAAACAGCAGGCTTCCATTGTTGATGTAGTAAAGAGCGTTGAAGACGATGTATAGAGATCCCAGGAAAGCAGTGAAGAACATGTGGTACATCCGAATGGGCGTGGCTCCAATCATGACGTCTGCTATCACATAAATCGAGTTGACCGTGTGTTTCAAACGGGACATGTCGCTGGTTAGCAGCGCTGAAACACACACACAAGCAAAAACATGATTATGTGTATTTGTCTGCCGCCCACCTACTTCTCTTCCTGGTGGCTATCTGAAGGTCTATAGAATCTTATCCCTGTTGGCAAATCATCATGTTAAATACTCCCTTTAAACTCACAACTTTTTTTCAGTTGGGGCACTTGTTACGCTCACACCAATATAATGCGTCTTGCAGTGCTGTTCAAGATAATATTATTGTTATAGGCACCTTTCCGTCTTCCCAGACGATAGTGTTATACGGTGCAATAGGGAGGCATGACAAATCACAGTCCGCAGCGATGGTGAATGTGACTAGCAAGACCTCTTCCGCAGTTAAAGAATAGAATGTCATAACCATTGCTAACATCGGATTTGTCAACATGCTTCTTCCCAGACGCTCAACTCTTAACCTGTCTGCTGTTATTTTCTCCTTCAACTCTTTCAGTCTCAAGGAACACATTAAAGGTTCATAGGTTCCTACCTGGAAGCCAATGAACGCAAGATGTGCCGATGTTACGTTTCTCTTGACTACCCATTGGACCTCTGCGAAACCCCCTGGGACTAAAGAGTTAATCCGATTACGTTCTGGGACTCCCCATTTCCCATACAAACAAGGTCTTTGCCACCTCAATATTTGTCACCTCAATACCTGTAACATTCGGTATCTCCCTTTCCGACGTCTTTATGTCTTATTAACCGATTTTAACATCTCCTGCTCATTTATAATTCGCCACCAAAAAAGATTTCCTTAACTGTTCTATTGCCCTCCCTTCTACAACCGTGTTCTCGCCATCTGAGCCTTCGAAGACTAAGCAATGAGAAAGCTGTAATGTAAATGCACAAAGTGTACGTCTATCACTTACGCAACAACAGTTGCGATCTACAAACCGTGTTCTGTGTGCTCGACTATTTTTACCAACTCCTGACAGAAGTGGCAAAATTTTCAACATTCTCCACCTACTCTTTCGCTCCTGTCTCTATTGCTATTGGTCTTCTCGGTTGTCACAATATTCTCTGGAACTTAACTTCACCTATCATTATCTTCGTCGTCATCGACATCATAATTATTTTTATTATAGTGTTCTTCGTCATGTCTCTCAGCAGTCCTTTGTGACCTAAATTAATTCTTCTTCTTCTTCTGCGTTCATCCGAAGATGTAACTGCGTTGTGTCCGTTTACAGCATGGCTGCGATATTTGCACCTTTCGGCCAACACATCCGACTTCTGCGGGCATTTGTTGACCGGGCTAGCCTTCCCGGTTAAAATTAATTATATTTATGTCATTCCTCTATAAAGGTTCAGTAAGTATTACTGGAGTAACTTTGTTATCCCCATTCCAACGTGGAACCTATGTTTTTTGTTTTGTTCTTGCTGTTATTCTAAAGCCCAACGCGGGCTGTCGATGGGAACTCTTTAGTATAACTTACCGGCTGAATGGGGTTTCTGGGACTTGCACCAGAGTGATTTTCATCCGAATGGTGGCACTTTATGTCACCAGGTCGTGCGGTCCTGGTAGGGCTGAATGTCCTGTCCTAGAATGGTCCAGTTCCACTCCTCAGTCAACAGCAATAATAAAAACCCCAAACCAATCAAGAAATAAACCAGCTAATCAATCGCTTAATTTTTAACCAATCAAACAACCAACCAAAAAAAAAAAAAAAAATAATAATAATAATTCATTCAATCAATTAAAAACATCTTTGCTATGGAGTGAGTAACTTCGCACTGTTTCAAGCCTGTAGCTCAGTATATCTAATTTCAACAAACATTTCTGTTTTCAAAATGACTTTCCTCAGCTTCCTCAGTCGACCTACATGCAGCAGGTCTGCGTCTTTGCCTGCCTCCTATCAGTAGCTAAACTACTGTCGACACAGATCTTACAGTCACTGGAACATACGCGCCTCTAACCCTTCAGTGTGGAGACACATCCAAAGGAAACAAATCAATCAACCAAACAACCAATTTTTCATGACAACAAACGCCGAGTACCATCGTGAGCAGTCTCCTTATTCGGACTGCTATTCTGTCTGTCACATCGTCCTTTTAAATATTAAAGAACTTTAAATTCATTAAATGTCAAAGTATCGTCTGCATGAGAACGCATCAGTCAAGATGAGAGACAAGTCGTTTTTCATATTTAAGAACTATAAAATACGTTTCCTGGAGCGATATGAATTTTGCACAGGGACAACTATTATATCAACAACAACAAAACAAAACAAAAAAAAGTATTTAAGAACTGTGCACAGGGACAACTATTATAAATAAACTATTTAAAACAAGATATATTAGTTTTAATACACTGTTCCTCAAAATCTTTAGTGTCACTTCTTTTCGTTTTTTGCTTTTGTGCACACCAATATTTCGGTTATATTTTTTGTGTATCTGGCTGTTTCTGTCATATACTGGAGATGTAGGACACATCAGAGATAAAGAAATTAAGGAATGATATTCGGTTAATCTTGAAAAGATCGCCACCTGACGAGAATGCCAAAGTACCAACTGCCACAGAGGGCCACGCTGAAAAAAAAATATAATGAACAAGGCAAGGGGAAGACCATGAAAGGGATGGAGCGACATCATCAGGAGCAACCTAACAGAAATAAACACCAACTTGTACAATGTATTCGGAAAAGTGCATAAACGAACCTTACATCTCCCAACAACACCTAGCCGAGGTAAATGGTGGAAGAGAAGAAGAAGAAGAATATCGTGAAATTATTAGGTCCAGCAACGGTGAGTGGAGGAGGGCGGCAGTGAAAGGTGCTGGCAGCAGGTTAAACGAATTTGGAATGAATCTTGTGTATAAGTCTTTGGAAAAGGTGGCGAAAACAAAGACGTGGAGAACGACTGAAACTCTTTTCACAAAACTGACTGAAGAAAAGGGGAGACAAAAGAGTGTACCAAAACAATGACAACACTACAGCTGCTAAAGTGATAACGACAGGGGGGGGTGACTGCACTCAAGACACCAAACAACTCATCCAGTCGGCAGAAGAGAGGGCGTGATTCTTTTCCCCTTGTTTTTATGTAGATAAATGCTGCCAAAACGTCCGACTGAACCCGTATCTTTATCTACATTACTGCCCACAAAGGTGTACAACTCCACGTCTTGGAGTGGGATACCATTAAGAAAAACCACATTACTATTTGCCAGATTTGAACTCATTATCTTTGTTTTTTCCTTATGGATTTTCCGACCTAGCTGTTCTGATCACGTATAAAGTATATTTTATTTATCTTGCATCTTATTCGAGTTGGTGCCTGTACATGTGATTGTATATGTGTGAATGCCTGCATGCATGCATAGGTGTGTATGTATGGAACGTGTGTGTGCATGTATGCCCATATATGTATGCGTGTGTGTGTTTTCTGTTTAGTGTAAATATCCTTTCTCCCCCCTAGTTTTCATTCCCCTCACTTTTTTTTTTTCAAAACGACTCTTGCCTTGGGATTCACCAGGTATAAGAAACTGCTATTAAGCAACGACAGAAGTGGCTAGTACTTAGATGGGTAACCACTTTGGAACACCACGGTTTCGAACAGCTTATACATTTCCCGACCACCACCAGGGAAGCAAACAAGTCGCCCCCCCCCCCTTTTTTTTTACTTGACTATGTCACTTGTCCTTATGAACTATGTCTTGTCTCCAGTTTTCCTTCTTAGTATAATGCAAATATGCTCCCTTCCTTCCCTTTTCTCCTATGTTTTTTGTTTTTTTTACGTTTTTTTTTTGGTTTGTTTGTTTTGTTTTAGTCTATTATTAATTTAGTTTTCTAAACTTGTACATAATTACAATGATGCTACTCTGATGTTCTTAATGCGAAATGTTTATAATCTTGTTTCCCCTTTGAGTTTATGCTCATCATGTGGTGTGTGTTTTCTGTTTGTGTATGTATGTCTAAGTATGTATGTGTGTATGTTAAAGGTTTGTGTATGTATGTAGATGCGTGTATGTCTGTATATGAGTGTGCATGTATGAGAATGTAAGAGAATGTATACCTGTGTGTGCGTGTGTACGATTGTGTACACATGATGTGTGTATGCATTATTCTATAATGTATATTTCTTTATTATATCCACAACATGCATTTTTGATAACAGGCATTGAGTGCTTAGAAGGGCCGAATTTCAGACGGGCCTGCGTGCCCAATTTGCAACCCTTTGAAAATAAAGTTTGTTCGTTCATTCGTTCATTCGTGAGTGGAACAGAAGAAAAATATCATTAGCGAAGTCCAGATCATCAAGCTGTTCTGTAGGGGTCCACTGAATTCTATTCTTGGTGTTAGCGCATGCTGTCCTTATAATCCAATCTATTGCTAGTAAAAATAGAAAAGGCGACAAAAGATATCACACACCGGTTTTTATTTTAAATGTAGCTTTCCCTCATGAAGAACTCCACAATTCATCTCTTAATATGTTGCTTTTACAAAGTTAGTAATTTTCTGTTGTGATTCCATAGTGCCCCAATAATTTCAGATAGATTCCCTATTAATGCCGTCAAAAGCTTTTTCATAGCCTGAGTCCAATTTAAAGTGGTGAATTCAAATGATAATAATGCATCAGTTAAAGAGGAATTTTTACATTCAACTAAATGAAGTTGAGTGTGAAGTGATAATATGGTTTAGAAAACAGAGCACGCAGTTCTATGCAGCAGGTTTGGGAACTGATAAAACGATGGGACAAAAGCATCAATATTGCTGGAAATTATGTTGAAAAAAAGGGTAGAGCGTATGTGTAAAAATAAACAGTTTTCAAGTTGTTATCGTCTTTATTTTTTTTTTTTTAATTACCATTTATAACTTATTGACCTCGTAGTTTCCGCTGAATTTAAAATACTTTTTCCCGTCTCGATCCATCTATTTTCACATAATCCTAAAATACTAATAATATAATGTTTTATTTCAATTGTTCTTCCTACACTGAATAAAGTTCTAACGTTCCAGGTGCCAATTCTGGAGATTATCCTTGGTGACACGGGGTTCGTCGACGATCCGGACTCATTTCGGCTTTCTCCACATCGTAACATACCTCTTCTACTAGAACAACCCCCCCCCCCACCCACATCTTGATTGGCTGGGTTTTTCTAGTTGTTCTTTGAGACCTTTCCATGGTTGGCTGGTTTTTGTGGCTTCTGATGTTACAGGATGAGGTAGCCAACCTCAAGCCCAGCACTACCCTTACGACATGCCTGGTAGGAGACAGTGTCACTATTCTTTGCTTCCCGCGAGGTGACACTGGCAGGATTGATTTATAATAGGTGATAAAGCTAGAGCGTATCAACCCCCCCCCCCCCCCACCGCCCCTCCACCCCACACACACATACACACACATACATACACACATACACACACACATTCACACACACATCACACACACATATACACACACACATACACACACACATACACACACACACACACACACACACATACATACATACACATACATATATATAAATATATATACATACACACACCGGAGGGAGATAAAGAGAATTTCTCACGGAATGAGCATAGATACTTTAGCCCAGCGGTTCTCAACCTACAGGTCGCGAGCTTTTGGGGTGGGGGTTGGGGGGGGGGGGGGGGGAGGTCGAAATACCCTTTGACGAGGGTCGCCTAGGACCACTGGAAAATACATATTTATTGAAGTTACAAAGGAAAATAATTGTCTGGGGTCGCCACAACATGACGGAACTGTATTAAAGGTTCGCGGCATTGGGAACGTTGAGAACGCCTGCCCCAGAACATCTTTTATGTTTATAATATAGCTCTTCCACCGAACCCTTTTTTTATAACGACATGTTGCTACTTATTATTACTTCTCGGTTGCCTTTCTAGTTGTTCTTTACAACAACACTGAATATTGGGTTTACCAGTAGTACCAGGTTCCAAAGGCTGGATACAATCTTGTATAGTTTCCAGTATCAGAGAATCTTTTTATCTGGAGAGATTTTAAACAGATTTTTAATGTTTGATTCTGTCAACATTTCCTGCACTTTCAAAAGCTTTTAATCAACTCTGCTATCACGTGAACGACAGAGCTCAAACCTACTCAGATATTACTTTAGCATCACATTTGACGGCAGGAGTCCACAGGAGTCTAGTTATTGCTTGTTATAAATGACGAAGGACTGTTTGTAAAAGTTAGTTGCAAATACATTCATACACACATAGATACATACATACATACATGCATACCTGCATGCATGCATGCGTGCGTGCGCGCACACACACACACACACACACACACACACACACATACATAAATACACATACATACATTCATACATACATACACACATACATACATATATACACATACATACATACATACCTCGATACATAAACACACACACATACATACATACGTACATCATACATACACACTCACACACAGATACACATATACATACATAATTACCCAACACTGAGAATATACTGTACTATTTTTGTTGTTAGATATTTGTTTTTAACCAGGCAATGTTACCTCCTGTAGTTTGCCATTGCTTGCTATACGGTTCGATGCTCACACGGTTGTCTAAATCAACACAACGCGGTTTGCTAGGGAACAGCCTGCAGCTGGCTTCTAATCTTGATATATCGGAATTATAAACCTGCGTTCAAAATTCATAAGCCAAAGAGGCAGACAATAAAGAATTACGCTGAATAAAAAAAAAAAAAAAAAATAATTAAACGTGGAATCCCAAAAGCAAAATAAAAAAACCCGGAATCAAAACAAAGGAAATAATATTTCAAACATAGCTTTCAGAAAAGAAATGGCACATACGGATTATATCTTGGTTCCAGTTTGCAAAGAACACTTTCCCATTATCTGCACAAACAAATACATATATATCGTGACAGTGTAGACAGTTTTAGGCGCTTACTTTCCTTTGAAATCGAAGTACATCTGCCTGAAAGGCAAAGAACCAACAGTCTTCCAACAAATAAACCAGATCTGTAAAACAGATGTGCACGCAAAAGTAAAGTTGTGAATCAAGATCAAAGTCCGGGAGTGGACGAACAGCCCGAACTTTCCGCCACAGTGAACACATAGAAGAAGAAGGTTAGTTGCGTATCCTTTACAGGACGTTGCAGAACCAACCCCAACAACCCCTGGCAGTTGTGTGGTTTTTCTAGGCAAATTTACGTCCAGTAGTTTGCCATTGCTTTAGAAGAAGAAGATAACTCATAAATAACATAACAAAACACGCCCTTCTGCGTACATACTACCTGCCTATTTAAACACCTCCCTATTTACCTCCCTGGCAACCTAAAATATTACCAAACTGGATACATGGCACTAAGTAGTTGTGGAAAGATAATGACAACTGATGTGGTTGTGTATTGCTAGCAGACTTATTTCCCAGAATACCACCCAACACCAGTGTTGTATTGAACTGGGCGCATCCGAAATCCACAAGAAACTTCCAGTGATCTTTTGATGTGTTCACCAGCTGTAAGCTCTAGCGCAAAGTCCTGGTTGTTCGCCCATTTGGACTTCGTCTTTGTGCCAGGTCCTTAGTTTTGCGCGTACATCCGTTTTACTGGCTTATGTGTGTGCAGCTAGTTATTCCTTGCTGCTGAGGCAGATTCACCCCGACTTCGAAGGAAGCTCCCAATAAGTCAGCTCTTTGGACATGTTGTTTTTGGGTAGGCAATGGGTCTATTCTTGTTTCCCCCACAATGGAGCCTCAGAACCCACACGGGCAGAATGGTATTTCAACCAGGATTACAGAAGCAGCAACAGGTGCACTAGCACGACCCTAGAACAGATGATATACAATGTACGAATAACATTAGGAAACTTTATCAAGAATCAGTGTGTGTGTGTGTGTGTGTGTGTGTGTTTTTGTGTGTGTGTGTGTTGATTTCAGGGTTTCATGTGTGTGTGTATGTGTGTGTATGCGGGTTTCAGGGTTTTATATGTGTGTATGTATGTGTGTGTGCGCGTGCGTGTGTGTGTGTATGTGAATGTACCAGCTGCAGAGATGAAGTCAACAAGAAAAATAGAAAATAGAAAATAAAGAAGAAGTAGAAGATGATGACGATGAAGATGATGATGAAACAGAAAAAGAACACTTCTCTGGGTATCTACTACAAACAATCTTCATGGAATTGAAATCTTTAAGCTAGGAAAGATACGACGACCAAACTCACGTGTGTTGGACACGAAAGCTATAAAAGCCCAGTAGCCAGTGGTCACTACGAGGGCCGAGTTGCAGCTGATGTTGAACAGGATCCACTGTAGCTTCAGAACCACAGGCATGGTCCGGATGTAGATCGGATCTGCAACATACAATTTACAGATTAAATATGTCTGCTAGAATGTACTTCATCAACTAAACTCACTCGCTAAGCACCAAGTATTTCGCCACGCGTTTATGGGTTTCAGGACATTGTAGTCCATTCATTTGTGACACTAATCCACTTTGTACCAGTTGTTACTTGAATGAATTCACTCTGGCCTGTTGTATTTTTTACACGAGCTTGCCAGGTTATTTAAAAAAAATAAATTATTACTTAAAGTACACGTTGGATGACATGTCTGCCTTCCAGTAGTTATGTCTGCCTTTCAGCATTGGTGTGTGTCTGTCTTCCAGAATACCTATCTGTCGGCCACACAGCGTATCTGTCTGTCTTTCAGAACAACTCTCTTGTGTCGACGGTCGACTTCCGTCAAAACTGCATTTGCCGACTGACCGTTGACGCTTTGAAAAGTTATTTGTTTCTATCTAGTTTTTTGCTGATTTAAATTCTCCATTGCTGGACATGCAGTCTAAAGGCCCCACCCCGCCCCAACCCCCCATCTACTGTGGTGAGTGACTGCTGCGACACTCTCAGCTGTGGATTTCATGTGAAATGTTTAGTGTAAGCGCATCCGACAGAAGATTTATGCATTTTTACTTGCGTGTTCACGCTTAAAAATGTTCCTGGTACTGACACTAAAAAACACATACAAAATCTAGTTTTCAAGTTGAACAGTGAAGGCCATTTAGTGTGGTTTCCACTGGCAAAAGAACAGAGCAGCTACCCGTCTGCAGCGATATTGGAGGTAATAGCAAATAACATCAACTCCAAAACTGCTCCGTTCCTGTGGCAAAGAAGACCACACAGAAAGTCCATCTGTGTCTCTTTCGAAAACACAGACACACACTGCAGTCTCAGCACATCTAATAATATATAAACGCATTAAATGCATTAGGCAGCCGTCAAAAGTGCTCAGACAGTCCGACTCAAGAAATGCAGTTCATCATCGACGCCTGCAGCAGTTACAAAAGGCAGTATTCACATGCGCGATAAATCATACAAGGCAACACCAGGTAATTCTGTGGCAACAAGTCATTTACTATTTTCTGAATCTATAGTTCACACACCACAAATCCCGTTGGCCACAGTCGAAAAACAAAGGCAAACAAAATTCGTAACTCACAGTGTCGCGCCATGCACTCAGCTCAGTAGCTAGGCGACGAAAATATATCCTTTCAGCCTACATATGGAGGAAAATGCCACAGACGACTATCGTCAGAAGCAAAAACTGAAAACAGCAAATCTTCTATACTGACTGGAAGACAATGATTTTGGAACTTCGGTCAATGACTTTCTCTCTGTATACATGTCAGTAAGTCTGCCTGCCTTTCAATCTCTCTATCGGCCCTTCCCCCCCCCCCCCCCCCCTCTCCCGAACCATCCACAAACAGACACAGTTGTAACAGATACCATCCAAGCTGTAATGAAGCAGATTAAAAAAAAAAAAAATAGGAACTACTGTATGAAACCAGGAAGGAAGGCAAGCAGACACCTTATTACTGCCAAAGAAAATGTCTGGAATTATGAAATGACCAAGAAAATGATCCTACAAGGAAATGCACCATTCGTCTTTATGTGTTTGTCCAGGGTGATAGCCCTGGGGAAATGTCAACTTGATGTATTCTGTGTGCCAGTCTGAAATATGCAAAGAGTTAAAAATACAATTTGTGTTTTATTTTTTTTATTTTTATTTGGCTGTTCGCGAGAAGGCGAACTGATTTCCTGGCACATGAGATGAATGTCCCATTAGAGATGAAGAGGCGTTTGAAATAGAGAGCCCCAGAGAATATGTGAGAGAGGGAACATTATTAAACACACACTCGCGCGCTCACGCGCATATACGCACTTGGGGAGGGTGCGCGCCCACACCAGGGATGTCCATAATAGAAGAGCTCGACAGGAAGGGGAAAAAAAGCTCATCAAGACAGACAGACACATGGACGGACGGATAGCCAGACAAATTATTTATATAGATAGAGAGACATACATACACACACATACACACCTACACACACCTACACACACCCACCCACCCACCCACCCCACCCACCCACCCACACCACACATACATACAGACAGACAGACAGACAGACAGACAGACAGACAGACAGACAGACAGACAGACAGACAGACAGACAGACAGACAGACAGACAGACAGACAGACAGACAGACAGACAGACAGACAGACAGACAGACAGACAGACAGACAGACAGACAGACAGACGGACATACAGACACACATACACACATACATACAGATACACAGACAAACGGACGGACAGGGAGACGGACGGACGGACAGACGCACGCACGCACAGACAAACAGACAGACAGACAGACAGACAGACAGACAGACAGACAGACAGACAGACAGACAGACAGACAGACAGACAGACAGACAGACAGACAGACAGACAGACAGACAGACAGACAGACAGACAGACAGACAGACAGACAAGACAGATAGCTATATCGGGACAACATTGTTGATAAATTATGAGTCCGTGTTCAATAGTCCAATCCCTCCCCCCCCCTCCCCCTTTCTTTAAAAAAATAAATTGTTTTGTATTCATTTGGTCCACGCGTGGTGCTAGCATATTTTGGGGAGCCCATTTTAAATGTCCATTTTCTGCTGCAATCAAAACTTTAATTTGATTTAAAAGTTATCAATGAGTGACAGGCGCAAATAACATAAAATTGAATATTTGATTTACACAATGTGTGGCCCTATCACAAGTGCACAAAAACAGAGACGATGAATGATGGAAATAAGACAGAGGACTGGCTATGGGGATATACGGAAAGTGCATAATGCATGTGATACATGGATGTCAGAGAATGCCTGCGTGGTGAAGATATTGAACAAATATAGTAAACTAGAGAAGGAGAGAGAGGGAGAACAGAGAGAGAGAGAGAGGAAGACAGAGAGGAATAATGAAAGGTGCACAGACTGAAACAGAGTCACACACAAAAAGAGAGAACAGAGAGATAGAAGCAGAGAGAGAGAGAGAAACAGAGACAGAGAAACAGAGACAGAGAAACAGAGAGAGAGAGAAGCACAGAAAGAGAAGCAGAGAGAGAGAGAGAGAGAAGCAGAGAGAGAAGCAGAGAGAGAAGCAGAGAGAGAAGCAGAGAGAGAAACAGAGAGAGACAGAGAGACAGAGAAACGGAGAGAGAGAGAAGCACAGAAAGAGAAGCAGAGAGAGAGAAGCAGAGAGAGAGAAGCAGAGAGAGAGAGAGAAACAGAGAGAGACAGAGAGAGAAGCAGAGAGAGGAACAGAGAGAGAGAAACAGAGAGAAAGAAACAGAGAGAAACAGAGAGACAGACGGGCAGAGAAACAGAGAGAGACAGAGAGAGAAGCAGAGAGAGAGAGACAGAGAGAGAAGCAGAGAGAGGAACAGAGAGAGAAACAGAGAGAGAAACAGAGAGAGAGAAACATAGAGAAACAGAGAAAGAGAGAAACAGAGAGACAGACGGGCAGAGAAACAGAGAGAGACAGAGAGAGAAGCAGAGAGAGAAACAAAGAGAGAGAGGCAGAGAGACAGAGAAACAGAGAGAGAGAACACAAAGATGGAATCAGAGAGCGAGAAACATAAAGAGGGAATCAGAGAGAGAGAGAGAGAGAGAGAGAGAGAGAGAGAGAGAGAGAGAGAGAGAGAGAGAGACAGGCAGGCAGGCAGGCAGGCAGGCAGACAGACAGACAGACAGAGATACAGATTGTTTGTTTTGCCATTTCTTCAAACGTGATTGAAAAGCCAGCATTATTGCTGTTCGCTCTGCGCGTGTGATCATACTTGTGTGTATAAATGTGCGCGCGCGCGCGCGTGTGTGTGAGGCAGAAAAAGATGGGGAGGACGAGAGACAGACAACAAACACAGGGACAGACACACAAACATTCTCGGTTAGAGGAAGTTATTTAAATAACGGCAATGAAAGAGAAAGAAAGCAAGAACGAGAAAACATAAGACAGGCAGAAAGAGAACGATCCGGGCAGAGCTCAAGAACAATAAACAGAGATGTTTGAGAGTGCGCGAAAGAAACGAGAATGGAGGTGGCGTGGAAGCATAACTGCTACAACTTGAGATAGTGACAGCGAAATGAAGAGAGAATGGAATGAGAGAAAAAGAAAGGATAAACACATCAGATAAGATGAAGCCAGAAGAATTAATGGTGAGCGAAAGCTAAAGAAATTTTCGAGAGAGATACATAGAAACACAGATAAATAGAAACAGAGATACATATAAACAGAGATACACAGAAACAGAGATACATAGAAACAGAGATATATAGAAACAGATACATACAAACAGAGATAAATAGAAACAGAGATACATAGAAACAGAGATACATAGAAACAGAGATACAGAAACAGAGATACATAGAAACAGAGACACACAGAAACAGAGATACAGATATACATAGAAACAGAGATATACAGAAACAGAGATACACAGAAACAGAGAGAATTTGTGAAACAGAAAAAGTGCGATGACGAGAAGGCACGAAAGAGAGGTGTGATGGTGGCACAGAGAAGGAAATAGAGAGAGAGACAGAGAGAGCGACCGAGACATAGTGTGAGAGAAAGTACGAACGAGATTGTGGTGTTGGAACAGAGAGAGAGAGAGAGAGAGAGAGAGAGAGAGAGAGAGAGCAGAGAGAGAGAAAGCCTGAGACACAGTGTGAGAAAAAGCATAACAGAGAGGTGTGATGGGACACAGAGAGAGCAGAGAGAAAGAAAGCCTGAGACACAGTGTGAGAGAAAGAATAACAGAGAGGTGTGATGGTGGGACAGAGAGAGAGAGAGAGAGAGAGACCGAGACACAGTGTGAGAGAAAGAATAACAGAGAGGTGTGATGGTGGGACAGAGAGAGAGAGAGAGAGAGACCGAGACACAGTGTGAGAGAAAGAATAACAGAGAGGTGTGATGGTGGGACAGAGAGAGAGAGAGAGAGACCGAGACACAGTGTGAGAGAAAGA